TTTTTTTTTTTTCTTTTTAGGTATATATCCTAGAGAAATAAAAGCCATGACACGAACAGATATATATATACACACATGTTCACTACAACACTTTTCACAATAACAAAAATAATGGAAACAATCTAAATGCCCATTAATGGAGGAATGAATCAACAAACTATAGTACAAACACACAATAGAATACTACACAACAATAAAGAACAAGGAGGAATCTGTGAGACATCTTATGACATAGACATACGGTGAGTGAAATTAGTCAATCACAAATATTGTATGAGACCAATATTGTAAAAAGTCAAGAAAAGGATTTCACACAAAAAGAAATATTCTTTGATGGTTACCAGAGGAGGGTGGGGAAGGGAGGGTAAACCAGTAACTAGAGGGTATACATATATATTAACTTGGGTGAAGGAAAGGCAAAATTAATTAATTAAACAAAATAATTTAAAAAACCAAAAAAAAAAAAAAAAAAAAGCCCCAACAACAACAAAAAACCCCAAACAACCAAAACTTAAGGGTTTAGCTTCAAGGGAAAGAAGATGATTTTATACAAATGAATAATTACAAAAACCTGCCTCCGTGCCCCTGGCTCCTAACCTTCACCAGATGTGTCTCAGGTGAGAGATTCACAGGCAGTGGATTCAGTTTCTCAGGTGCAAAGACGTAGGCTCCTGAGTCCTCGCTGGCTTTGTACCTGAGGCAAGCGTAGGCAAGAGGAGTGAGTCAAGACCAGTTCTGTTCATGGACATTCTCCCAAACATGGTGGCCACTCCTCACCAGAAGAAGGCCTGGTGGATAGGCAACACAAGCTTCTGGTCCCGGTTCTCAATCTCCTTTAAGAGCCCCATATGGGTGTTGAACACAGCCCGCATGTGCTGGAATGAGAGGGGCAGGTGCTAATGATCACTGTCTCAATAATGGCAGCTCTGTCCTTCCAGGTGCTCAGGACATACTATCTCTAACTATTATTTCAAACCCCATGCCCAGTCTTTTAACAAACTATTGCTTCTTCAAATTCCATCCAGAGTCTGGACTAATGCTCCCTCCACCCTTGTCAACCCCCATCATCTCCCACAAGACTTCTGCTGTCACTTCCCCCTGGCTTCCTGGCTTCCACCCTTGACACCTACAGGCTTTTTTTCCACAGAATGCAGAAAACAAAACAAAACAAAACACAAGCCCACTGCTATCAAGTAGATTCTGACTCATAGCAATCCTCCACCTCCAGGTTTCCAAGGCTGTAAATCTTTACAGAGGTAGATTGCATCATCTTCTTCCCACAGAGCAGCTGGTAGGTTTGAACTGCCAAACTTCTAGTTAGCAGCCAAATGCCTTACCCACTATGCCACTAGAGCTCCTTACAGAATGCAGAAAGAGCCTCATAACCTCCATGTTAGGTTATGTCCTTTCTCTGATTAGTACTCTCTGAAGCTCTCATCTCACTAAGAGTAAAATGCAAATCTCTGTGGCCCCTGATGGCCCTAAACCATCTGTCCTGTCACCTCCTGTCGCCGTCCCCCTCATCTTTCCCGTCACTCACTCCTGTCCAGCCACACTGGCCTGCATACCGTACCTCACATAGCTCAAGCACACTTGTCAGGCCTTAGCCCCTGCCTGTCCATCTGTCTGGACTGTTTTCGCCACAGACCCCCGCATTGCTCACATCTCTCAAGGGTATGCTTGAGTGTTCTCTTCTCAGAGAGGCCTTCTCCTGGACCTCCTGTCCAACATTGCTACCTGCGCAACCTGACAAGATACAATCTCTGCCCTTGTTCAATTTCCTCCAGAGTAAACATACGATATTCTCACCTACAACACATCATTTATCCTCTTTATTGCCCCTGTCTCTCCAGGACATAATTTCTTTTCTCACTCCTGGGTCAACATGGAACTTAGATATGTCATGGGGGGAAAGGGTTCAAAACTGGGTTCCCACCTCATTTTCAATGGTCAGGACAGAAGACCGTGACTTCTTTGGCCTTGACAAGGTGGAGCCAGTCTGGGGGTTCTTCTCAGCTACTTGAGTCACAGAGTAGATGTTGAATCCCAGGGCAGGTGCAGAGGCGGCGAACAGCAGCTCTGGAGGATGCTTTTTACTGCTAAGAACTGGATGATGTATAACCTGATGCCCCAGAAGGAGGGAAACTGAGGAGGAGGTCTGTTGCTAAACCTGCACACCCACAGTCTGGGTCAAGGTTGGGGTGGGCCAAGGTAGTGTGGGGAGTGTTCTTGGGGTGAGGAGAAAAACTGGATGAGGCGAGAAATACTGGCTTGAGTTTAGGAGGCGATTCATGAGGGGAAAGGGAGAGCCACTAATGGGGTAAAAAATGTGAGGAAGGAGTATGAGGGAGGGTTATTTATGGGGTAGGGTTGCCAATAGGTGAAATATAGTCACAAGGAGCAGATCTTCATGGGAGTGGGGGAGATTTTCTTGGGAGAGAGATTCATGATGGGCCATGGTCTTGGGTCGGACATATTCTTGGGAGGAGATAGTCATGGGTGGGAGATGTGCATGGGGATATGTATTCATAGGGTCAGATATAAGGGGGTGCTTACTTCGCTGGGTATGGTCTGTCCACTAGGGTCCAGCACAAGGAAATTGCCTTTTCTGACCGGCAGCCTCAACATCCAATTCACTTGGCGCCCCAGGGGATTGTAGACGATGACTTGGAACTGGGGTAGGTGGTGAGGGGGGTGGCTTATATTAGGGCAGGCCTTGTTTTATCTACCGGGCCAGGTCGTGCCCTTCTGTGAGAGTGGTAGTATGGACCAAGTCAGTTCCGTTACGACCCACTCAAATGTAGACAGGTGCACCTGCATAAGCCTAATTGAGAGCTCTTAATGTCATGCTCACCTGTCACCCCGCCACCTGACTGTCAAGGTTCCCTGACCCTGGCCCTGTGTCTACTTGTCTTGCCTAATTTTTCTCAGCACATGGTCCTGTTCAGTTGAGCTTCCTCCTCGAGAACTTCCTACTGAAATGTTTTGCAGGCTGATTCAGGCCTTCCTGCTATAACTGGTAGAGAGGTCCCACCCCTCTCATATACTCCTCTTGTGTCACTCCTAGTACATGCAGGTGTCAGGCCTGGGTTTCTATTAGGCGGTGCCCACCGGTCCCGGCCCTACCACTGCTGGTCCCACCCGGGCACCCACTCGAAGCAAATAATCCCATCCAAACCACACCCCTTCCGGCCCCGCCCCTGCCTCCTCCAGGGGGCTCACACGAGCTGCCGTCTGACTGAGCGGGCAGACGCTGGTGTTTAGTTCGTGACAGAAAGTGAACTTCTTGAAGCCGGTCAGCCGCGTCAGGGCGTTGCTAATGAGCACCTGGGGAGAACGGCAAACGGTCAAGTGTGATGTGGCCCCGCTTTAAAGCACCCTCTGGTCTCCTACCTACGTCACCATGCACACCCCTTTTTTGCCTCCTCCATGCGGCAGAGTCCTGAGCCCATATTGGCCCATTACTGCTGTCCTTGGCCTCATTGCTACGGGTTTTGCCCCTTTCTCTTCCATGCTCCGCCTACTCTGGCCCCGCCCCCGCCTCTCCCAGGCTCCGCCCCCCTGGCCGCCCCCAGCACACCTCACAGCGTTTCCAGCCCTCAGCAAGCTGGCGCGCGTAGTCATCCGCCACATGCTGTCTGGAGGTACCGCTGACAGCGTCGTGGTGCTGGAGCACGGCCATCGCCTCCCCTAAGGGTGGGACGGTGACCCTGGCGGGGCCTCCGCGGGACCCCGCCCCGACCCCCGGAAGACGCGGAAGGTCCAGTGCAGGTGGGGAGGGTTCTTTGGAGCTTTAAGAAGGGACTCGAGGAGGAGCCGAATGACAGGTCCAGCCCCAATCCCGCCCGGGTTCCCACTCTGCCTGACACCTACTGAGGCGCCTGCTGTTTCCAGAGCCAAAGGGTCTTTTGTTAGCCATCGGACCCGTCAGTGCCTCCAGCTGGTTGCACACCTGGTGAGCAGCGGCCTGTTGGGGGTGGCCAAGCCTTTCTGGGACCTGTGGCCACCCCTTCGAACCAGGCGCCCACCTACCTGCAGGAAGTTGTAGCTGAGGCGCTCGTAGCGTTTGAGGGCCGGCCGGCTGGTGAAGTAGCCAGTCCAGAACTGGTGGGGGCCATCGGCATAGGGGAAGAAGTCGTCCTGTTTCACTGACCTGCGGAGATGCGGTACTGAGTGCAGGGTCACGGCCCAGGAGCATCCCAACCCGTTCCTCCGTGGCTCCCCAAATACCAGGTGAGGTTGGCCTTGTTCAGCTCCTGGAGGTAACAAGCAGGGGTGGAGTAGAGAACGTGGACTCGGCTCCCGTTGGCCTGCTGCTCGGAGGGAGGAGTGGATGAGTGAGCCCTTGGGGAGTCCGTGACTTCCCGGGGACACACAGGTGTGCACATACACACAAGTTCACACCATCTACACTCTGAAAAAATATACATATTTTCTCATATGTATGTATCATATATTGTGTATATATGTATATATATGTATCATATATTGTTGGAAATCAATGGCCAAGTGTAAAGATTAAAATTTGGCTATGGCTAAATACCATCCTCCAAAGAATTTCTGAAAGGACTGAATAAACCAGGACTTTTATCCAAAATTCTATTAAAAATGTCCATTTAGTGATATAAAACATTAGTGGACAAAATAAGTATGTTGTTGTTGTTATTAGGTGTCAAGTCAATTCCGACTCATGGCGACCCTGTGTACAGCAGAATGAAACACTGCCCAGCTGTGCACCATCCTCACAATTGATGCTCTGTTGAGCCTATTGTTGTAGCCACTGTGTCAAGCATGTCATTACAGAAGAGACTGTATGAATGTAAAGAGAAGGAATATACTTCACTACTGGTGGGATTGTAAATTAGTTCAACCACTATGGAAAATGGTATGGTGCTTCCTCAAAAACTAGAAATAGAAATACCCTACAATCCATATAGTTGTTTATGCCAATAAATTTGGGAGACAGCTACATGGCCAACCGACTGGAAAAGATCCATATTTATGCCCATCCCAAAGAAAGCCGAACTAAAAGAATGCAGACATTTTTGAACAGTATCATTAATATCAAACACAAGTAAAATTTTGCTGAAAAATTTTCAAAAATAGTTGCAGCAGTTCATTGACAGGGAACTGCCAGAAATCCAAACCAAATTCAGAAGAGAGTGAGAGATGAAGGGATAACGTTGTTGATATCAGATGGATTGTGGCTGAAAGCAGAGAATACCAGAAAGATGTTTGCTTGTGTTTTATTGACCATGCAAATGTTTGACTCTGTAGATCATAACAAATTATGGGTAACATTGTGAAGAATGGGAATTCTAGAACACTTAATTGTGCTCACGAGGAACCTGTACAGACCAAGAGGCATTTGTTAGAAAAAAGCAAGAGAGTACTGTGTGGTTTAAAATCAGTAAAGGTGAGTGTTGGGTATATCCTTTCACCATACTTATTTAATCTGTATGCTGAGCAAATAATCCAAGAAACTGGACTATATGAAGAAGAATGTGGCATCAAGATTGGAGGGAGACTCATTAACAACTTGCAGTATGCAGATGACACAACCTTATTTGCTGAAAGTGAAGAGGACTTGAAGCACTTATTGATGAAGATCAAAGCCTTCAGTATGGATTACACCTCAACATAAAGAAAACCAAAACCCTCACAACTGGACCAATAAGCAACTCACAATAAATGGAGAAAAGATTGACATTGTTAAGGCTTTCATTTTACTTGGATCCACAATCAATGCCCATGGAAGCAGCATTCAAGAAATCAAATGATGTTTTCAATTGGGCCAATCTGCTGCAACGACTTCTTTAAAATGTTAGGGAGCAAAGACATCACTTTGAAGAATAAAGGGTGCCTAAAACCAAGGAAGGCAGGTTGGGCAATCCTACTTCCGTAGTGATAACTGCCTCGGAAACCCAAGGAGGGGTCGTTAGGAGTCGGGGCCAACTCGATGGCAAATAACAACAACAACAACAAAAATCAAGGAGCTCTGGTAGCATAGTGCCTAAGGCACTTGACTACTAACCAGAGGGCTGGCAGTTCAAACCCACCAGCCACTCCTCGGAAGGAAGATGGGGCAATCTACTTCTGTAGTGATACTGCCTTGGAAACCCAAGGAAGGGGTCACTATGAGTCAGGTCCGACTCGATGGCACATAACAACAACCCAAGTCATAGTATTTTTCACTTGCCTCATATGCATTTGAAAGCTGAACAGTGAATCGGGGAGACTGCAGAAGAATTGAGGCATTTGAATTTTGGTGTTGGTGAAGAATATTGAAAATACCAGGGACTGCCAGAAGAATGAATAAATCTGTCTTGAAAGAAGTGCAGCTGGAATGCTCCTTAGAAGTGAGAATGGCCAGACTTGGCCTCACATACTTTGGTCATGTTGTCAGAAGGGACCATTCTCTGGAAAAGGATATCATGCTTGGTAAGGAGAGGGTCAGCGAAAAAGGCAAAGACCCTCAATGAGATGGATTGACACAGTGGCTGCAGTCATAGGCTCAAGCACAGCAGTGATTGTGAGGATGGCACAGGACTGGGCAGTGTTTTGTTCTGTTGGACACGGGGTCTCTATGCGTCAGAACTGACTCAACAACAACTAATGACGATAATCCAGCAATCCCACTCCTAGGTATATATGCTAGGGAACTAAAACTACTGATAGGAACGCACACATGCACACCTATGTTCACTGCAGCATTATCACAACAGCAGAAAGATGGAAACAACCTAACTTCCCAATGACAGATGGATGCATAAACAAACTGGTACATACACACAATGAAATACTCTGCAGCCATAAAGTATAATGATGAGCTCTCAAAATACTAGAACATGAATCTGGAGGACATTATACTGAGTGAAATAAGTCAATCACAAAAGGACAAATATTGTATAATCTAACTATTATAAAAAGACAGGAATAGATGCACTTAGAAAGTAGTGTTCTTTGATGTTTACCAGGGATGGAAGGTGGAGGGAAGGAGAATCACTTTCTATTTCTGACAATTTAGTATTAATCTTCTGGATTTCTCTCTGTAGATTTTGTATCATTTCTAATTTTTCACTTATTTTGTCATTTTGTTCTTGTATTTCAAAATTGTTCTAGGGTTTTCTCTGTTTTCCTCAGTTTTGTCAGTGTTTTCCTTTATCTGTTTCTCAATCTGTTGAAGGTACCTAAATGTAATTTTTTGAATTCCTTACCAGGGAGTTCCAGGGCTGCTGCTTCCTCAGGGATATGTTCTGGGTCTGTATCCTGGTCCCTTGTTCTCCTACTTTATTTTTCTTCTTTGTGTGGACTGTGATGCTCTGTTATCTCTGAGACATTATGACATTTTTGTGTTTATATTTAATTGGTGATTGTATGTTGGAGTGACTTGCCCACGATTTTCATTTTCTTTGTTTTGTTTGGATACCTGTGTAAGCAAGGTGCTCCTTTATTTGCTAGTTGGCAGCACTTACACATTCATCACCTGTCTCCTTTCCTGTTGTCAGCCTCCCATATGTCCCTGCCATCCTTGGCAAACAGAGACTATTCTTAGGTCCCTGGAATCCGAATGAGAATGCTGTCACTTTAAATATCTCAAATGGCTACCACTTATAAACATTCAAAATGGCTGCACCCTCCGTCATTTTAAATATCCAAAATGGCCGCTGCTTGTAAACAATCAAAATGACTGTACCCTTCAGACAGCTGAAAGTCCACAGCTCAGGTTGTCTCCCTCCTTGCTGTTTCCTTTCCTAGTCATAGGCCACCAGCACAGTCGTCCTTGGAGCCCTTGGCAACCAGGGCTGATCTTTAGGTCAATTCTCAGGTCCCAACACCACTTGGAAATATTCAGGCTGGTGGTCCCATCCGAGTAGCTGACAGTCTGCAGCTCTGTCTGTCTTCATACTCGTTGTTTTCATTCAGGTTTTTCCACTAGTTGATGCCTAATCCACTTCTGTATACTTCCTTTCAAAGTTCAGGGCTCTAGGATTATCTTCTGTATCTCTGTCAATTGGTTCATCTCTTCTTTGTTGAAGAGAGTCTATGTAGCTTGTCTGTCTATTCTTCCATCTTTGAGAATCACTTTCTAGATAGTAGACACTTGTTAGTTTTGGTGATGAGAAAGACAATACTGAATAAAGGTGAAGTCAGCACAACTTGACCAAGGTAAAAGATGACACTAAGGAGTACACAAGAACTAGGGATGATTTTGGTAAAAGCCATAATATATACAATTTTGTAACAATAGTTATAACAACAAAAATATATATGTGTGTGATTACATAGGTAGCTATGTATGCTTCTACATGTATAAGTGGGAGCTCTGGTAGCATAGTGCCTAAGGCACTTGACTGCTAACCAGAAGGCTGGTGGTTCAAACCCACCAGCCATTCCTTGGAAGGAAGATGGGGCAATCTACTTCCATAGTGATACTGCCTCAGAAACTCGAGGAGGGGTTGCTATGAATCGGGTCCGACTTGATGGCACATAACAACAACAACATGTATAAGTAAGCAAATATGAGTATACCATTGCACTTGTACAGGTGTTTCTGTAAGCAATGTATATACATTTTTGTTTGTGCTGCTTATAGATTCACAAAATAAAGCCCACAGGGAGAACAGTTATGAATACTAGATGTAATCAAACACCTTGCAGTATTAGTTTACTGGTTTACTATAGTCTTGTGGGGAACTCAGGCAGTTGGCATAACACAGCTCATAAAGATAATGTTCTATATCCTAGTTCTGTAAATAGCATCTAGGGTCTTAAAAGCTCATGAACAGCCATCTAAGATGTAATCATCTGGAGCAAAAGAGGAAAAAGAAAACCAAAAACTCAAAGGCATCTACATAAACCATAGCCTCACCTACCCTGAGACCAGAAGTAGTAGATGGTGCCTGGCTATCACTACTGACCATTCTGACCAGGGACAAAACAGATGATCCTGCATAGAATAGGGAAAAATGTAAAGCAAAACTCAAAATCTCCCCCCCCCCAATTTTTATTGTGATTTGGGTGAAAGTTTACAGAGCAAATTCATTTTCCATACAGCAGTTCATACACATTTTGTTTCATGATATTGACTGCAAT